TGGGAGCGGAGCAGCGCAAGATACGCAATAGACTGCTAGTGTAACGGGGTACGTAGCACTAAGTGTACCCTGGTTACATGAAGTGTGACACTTCACACTTCAGGAGTATGACATGTCATACTCCGGGATATTTGGTACAAGGTACCAAGGTCATTCAAAACCAACCATTGGTTAAATGACATTGCATTACTATAGGTAACTGATAGTTTGTATTAACCTCAAACTTAACCTACCTATAAATATACTCAGTTTACAATCTACCTTATTTAGGTCACTTCGCTCTCTTTAATTAAAGAGGGGACCTGTGAACTGCCGTTCACTGAGAGTTTGTATACTCTCGGAAGATAACTTCCTCTAGCGCAAGGTGCTGTGTGACCCCGTCACACTTGATAGCACTTGTAGTCAATCCACGCCATCGCGGGTAGACTACCTGAACCTCCGAAGTTCGTTGCCATGGATAGGAACGACTTCTCCCATATGAACGACTCTCAGTTCGAGTCGGTTCGGAAGATGGCAGGCATCTTCGGGATGGAGGCCCTGCAGAGCCTGGTGGTATCAACACCGGCTGAGCAGCTCGAGCGCGTCAATGCATTCGACGCGTACGAGCAGGGCCTCATCGCGCATGTGCGGGAGAACCTGCAGGCTCCGGCGGCGGAAGCAAACCCGCCTCACCCGAAGCCAATACGGCTGAAGGTAAAGCCGTATGAAGGGAAGGAAGGCGAGAACCTTCACTTCTGGGTCCGAGAAGTAGAGCTCGCGATGGACGCGGCTCTGATCTCGACCGAGCAACTGCGTGTTGCTTTTGCACTCTCCAACCTTAGCGGTCGTGCTAAGAGTTGGGTGTACACTCGGGAAGCGACATCCCCTGGATGTTTCACATCCTGGGCTCAGCTGTGCGAACAGCTCCGAGCCGCGTTCCTCCCGGCGAACTACGAGTACCGGCCAGCGTTCGCGCTTCCTTCGCGTGTAAACAGGAAGACGCGAACTGCACGAGTATGTGCAAGAGATACGGGAGCTCACGGCGTCCCTAGTTGGAAGCCCACTCAACGAGCACATCAAGATGACTGTGTTCATGGACGGCCTTCGAGTGGGCCCCGCACGCACTCAGCTGTTCCGGGTGCAGTCAAGCACCCTTGAAGAGGCAATTCAAGTGGCTCTTCAAGAAGAGTACAGCCATCGCCAGGCGCGTACGCCGGCCTCAGCATGGCCTGGGAGCTCCTTGTCGGCTCCCGGTCGAACAAGCCCCAACGGACCAGTTCCCATGGAACTCGGGTCCGCCGAACAGCGTGACGTCCGCTGCTTCGGCTGCGGGAAGCTAGGCCACTTCAAGCGTGACTGCCCTGCGAAGAGACACCGCACGTGGACTTTCCCCAAGCCCATCTTCAAGAGTCGCTGGCAGAAGCCAGGATCCCGGGGACAGGGGAACGCCAGAGACCAGTAGGGGCGCGGCGCCCTACTAAGGAAGAACTAAGCCTTCGTGAGAGGTGAGCGGGTGGCGCGTACCACGGGGACTTAGCCCCTGAGAGGCTTCGCACTCTCGAATCGGCAAAGAGCAGTGGCGGGTGGCTTGTAGTACACGGATGTGTACGGGGCTACGATCACCCTTTAAATATTTTTCAATTCTGGGGCGTCAAAGAGCTTCGCACGCCGCCAGACAGTTGCACGTAATAGCAACAAGTTTTCCGATGTTTTGAGAGAAAGCAAGGGCAACGGGATGGTGTCAGTGCGACTGGCCGACGGGAAGGTCGTCACTGTCCCCAACGTCCAAGTGGATCTGGCCGTCAAGTTTGAGGACTTTGACAGCCTCGAACAGTTCACTGTTCTCGATATGGATCCATATGATATAATCCTGGGCATGCCCTGGCTTTAGAAGCACGAGCCCTGGATCGACTGGCGAGGCAAGGCAATTGGTGCCAGCCTCCCTGCGCAGTCCGACAGAGCATTGGTGAGTCATGTTCCCACCTCTGTCAGGACCCGGGGCGCCCGCAAGGGTTGCATGGGTTGCATGGGTACCGAAGCATCCAGCAGATGCGTGGGAGTCGTCGACGTATATGACGACTCCGAGGACGCTTCGATGGTGGCGGCGCCCAGAGGAGGCGCTGACCCAGTGGGTAACTTAGGTCCACAAGCGGGTAACATAGTTCCACAGACAGCTGCAGCTGTCACGAACGCTGGTAATAGCGTGTACAAGGTGGGTAACAAAGCTCCACACACGGTCGCCCAGACCATAACTGAAGAGGAAGACGCAGGTTGCGCTTCCTGTGTGGGCAACATAGTATCACACGAGGCCTCGAGTGCCTCGGATGTCGGCACCACGAAATCTCCAGATGTGAATTGCGAAGTTCCACGTTGCGGTCGCCGTCGATGACGGTGTCGCTTCAAGCGACTCGGAGTCCAGGCCCGGACTCCTCCGACACGGCCGGTGGAAGAGTGCTATCACATCTTCGATGGCGAAACTGCTTTACCCGTCAAGACATCTGGTGTCCACTTGGAGCCGTTGCCAGAGGTTGCAGAGATACTGAACCTCGAGTCCCCTCGAAAGGCAAGCCGTTACAGGCAGA